CCCCCGGTCCGGACTTACTCTTAAAGCTAATCCATTCCTTGGCCCATATTTGCTCCCTAACACGTGTGTTTACAGCGCTAACCTGGCTCGGCCCTTGGGTTCGCCTTTGGACGGTTCAAGGCAGGGGTTTGTCGGCTTCGCTGTTTTTGGATGAGTGACGGGTCGGTGACGGTGGACCCCGCCCCACACAAACCTCGTCCGCAGTCCGCACACGCCCACCGTGGAAGGGCAAGCCTTTTAAGTGGTTTCTAGTATCAGGCACTGTTCGGAGAATGCCCACAAATTGCAAGAAGAAAACTTAGAATCCATTTGACTCAGGAAAGGTCAGATTTATTACGGTTGGAAAAAGAGTCCTCCTATTGAATGTGCCCTTTGACCTACATGCTCTTGGAGGTTAAGACCAGCCTGGAGATGTGACAGGATTATGGTGCCCTTTGTTTAGGCTAACTTTTCCTCTGCCTTTTTAACATCAGTGCATGCAGCCCATTTGTTGAAAATTTTAAGAAATTGTGTTTTATTCCACCTTCTCCCAGCATTTATGTTACCAGTATAGTTTGAGCGGCTCTATCGCTGTGTGTATGACGTGTGTTACTTTTCCAATCCGGCATGTGATAATTTTCCAACTGGATCTTGCCTTCTGTTTACTTATTCAGTTAGTGTCTTCCTTTCGCCATCCTTGAAAAAGAAATCACTCAAAAACGTATAAAAACACCAGTACCCTTAGGGGCCTAATACAGTGCTAGACATACAGTCTATACTCACTTAACAAATAAATGGATAAAATGGGAAAATATAGGTCGATAGGGTGGCCTAGATAAAACAGAGTTGTGTATGCTTTGTTGAAGGTCAAGGCATCTGGAAGGTTTGGGGACAAATCCAATCCAGTTTGTCCCAGCTCTGTGTCCAAATAACATCCAGACAGCTGCCTGTGCCCTTCCTTCCCCTGCTTGCTTGCCATCTGCCTTCCCACAGCCTGGTCCCCACGGCTCCCCTCACCCTTGCTGGCCAGAAGGGTGCAGAAGAGAATGAAGGGGAAAGGCCACACTCTACCAGGGAAGGAAGACCCTGCCCTGCCACCTTTGGGGTCATGGTGCACCACCTGCCGGGAGGCCAGTGGGATCGAGGTGGGAAACCCCCATTGCCTCTGCTCCTTCTTCCCCCCATCCTGCTTTTTCATCACCAACTTCCGAGACTTTCTCAATCCCTCCATACCTCCAAAAGTGCACAGCTGACCACTCCTAACTTGCCATGCTCAGGAGTTAGGTGCTTCCACTAGTGACTTGGAGCTGTCATTGGGCGGGGGGGTGGGGGGAGACCTCAGCAGATGAGAGGAAGAGAAGACCCCAGCCTCACCACCTGGGCTGCCGCAAGGAGAGGAGCTCTGATGTTCCAGCTGGGAATCTCAGCTGTTTTCCAGTAACACAGTGGTTCTCCACTGTCAGCAATCTGATTGCGATGTCTGAAGAGATTTTATTTTCACAACTAGGGGAGGGTGCTACTGGCATCTATGGATAGAGGCCAGGGATGCTGCTAAATATCGTACAAGGCACAGGATAGTTCCCCACATCAAAGAATGATCTGGCCTCACATGTCACTGCTGCTGAGGATGAGAAGCCCTGTTGTAGAAATATTGTTACCCTGGCACTATTATCTTGATTACATGTTTTGAGTGTCTTCTAGGTGGCACTGTTGTAAGTGCTCCCCTATGCAGTCGTGGTTGTTATTATTTCTGTGTTACAGATGGAGAAATGGAAGCACAAAGAGGCTTAGTAACTCTAAAGTTTGCACAGATAGTGAGTGGTGAAGCTGAGTGTCTGACACTAGCCCCTCCCCCTCTCTGCCACACATGGGCTTAATAGGCTTTTGTGGGCTAGCCTGGGAACCCAAGCATGATCTATAACATTGACCCAGTGGAATATTCTCCTTCCAAAACCATTGACTCACAAGTGAACTTTTGCAAGCGTCTGTAATTGGAGTACAGCCTGGAATAGGGTTAGAAAGATACGGAGTTAAAGCTCTCCATTTCTGATCTGGCCCTGACATGAAGGGCAACAATTCCACCCTACCTCGGTGCTCTGCTTATAAAACAAACACAAATCTCTCTTCCCTGGGACCTTAAATCTTTTCTCCCAGATCTAGGGTTTCTTAACTCCTCTACCATAAAAGGGGTAGCTGGGATGGATTGGCTCAGAGAAGACTGGAAATCAAGACTGGGAGATCAAGACATAGATTCTGCTGTAGCCAGTCAAGTCACTGAAGTTTTAGGGACATCAGATCCCCATCTTAGGTTTTATACCTCCGAGGGGTTGAAGAGTTCACACCCACTGTTGGAGGCTGATAGTATTTGGATGTGTTGTCCCCTCCAAAACTCATGTGGAAATTTGATCCTCAATGTGGCAGTGTTGGAAACTGATTGAGTCATGGGGGCAGATGCCTCATGAATGGATTAATGCTCTCCCTGGGTGGGGGGGGGGATTAATGAGTGAGTTCTCGCTCTATTAGTTCCCATGAGAGCTGGTTGTTTAAAAGACCCTGGCACCTCTTCTCTTCTCTCTCTCTCTCTCTCTCTCTCTCTCTCTCTCTCTCTCTCTCTCTCTCTCTCTCTCTCCACTTTCACCATCTTGCAGTGTGAGACCCCTGGTTTACTGTTACCACC